TTCTTTAAGCTCGGTCTTTTTGGCATTGTTTGCACTACTGTTACAAGACATTTCGATAGCAAGCTGTCAGAGTCGAGGCTCTGGGTGTCTGGTGGTAAACTGGCTGAGTGCTATCATAGTGAACTGCACATGCCCTAGCAGCCAACGCACTGGCAGGCCCCTCGGATGAGGCAGACTAAGGTAGATTTGGTGGATAAAATTGCTACATTCTGCTTAATTGTAGCAAGGTTGTTCCTTGCTTTTTCATGCCACAGTGTTGTAATGATTCGTACGCTGCTCAAAAGTCACTGGGTTATGTAAAGCTGAATAAATATTACGTCTGCCGCTTAAACAACAGATCCTTTTTGGTGGCCATGAGACAACGTTTTGTTCATTATCCATAAGAATCAGTTGAATAACTTATAACCGCGTATGCCACTGCTTGTTTGAGACTGAATCCGTTGTCGGCGTTGCGGTATTGCTCAGTTTGAAATAGCATGGATGCTACAAGACATCCGCTCTAAGATATCTTAACACAGGTAACGGTGCTTGACACCTTATGCTAGTGACAAACAGAAGTGGGAATATCAGTTCGGTAGCACTGATTTGAGTCGTTCAGTGTTGGTGACGGTATCGTGGGTTAGCGCAAAATCTAGTTATGATGCAAGCACTCTAGGTGTGAGGCCGACCTTCCAACAGATGAGGTGTCGTATACCAAGATTGTCATGTTCGAAGTAACAGGAATGCGCATTATCAGATGCAGTGTCCTGAATTACTGAGTTCCTTATTCCATGTATTATCTGGATATTATATATATAGTCCTAGAGAGACTATATTCGCTATTTGGCGTCGTGAGTTTCCTTTTTTGTGAGTAACGAGTTTTAAGTGCTATACATTTCCCTGTATTTCAGTTATATGATCGGCATGTCTGGTGGTTCAGCTGGTGAGCCAAGAATACAATAATCCAGCGAGGTTTCTGTCAGAAATAACTCATGCGGGAAGAAATTCCCACAAAGCGTGAGATGATATTTGGGTCCATTCTTCAAGCCCATCATGTTAGTGTGATGTACACTGGGAGGACTGAAGTTTCCACAGGGGTACTATACGTGGTCTCTAAGTTGTGGTGTTTTGAGCTTAGAAAAGTTAAATGTATATTACTTTGGATTTTCTGATGCCATTACTGTGACATCAACATTTGAGCTATATGCGGCATTTTTCACATAGATGTGAGTGACGATTCTACGAGCCTATGATTGGCTTCCAGATGGAGATAGACGGGCCTTCAACTGAAGAGCGCACCGTGAATATGGATCCCCCTTCAAGTCGAGAAGTGTCCGAGTGTATTCTTCTACTCAAACATAGTCACCCTCCTGGTCCAACGAAGTTATTTGCTATGTTCAAGGACGGCATTAAGTTCTCCATGCAGGCCTTGTTTAGCTGGTTCGCGTCTGGTTTGGAAAATAGACCGTCCCAGTCAAATGCAGCGAGTCTATAATAGTTCCAATCTTCAAAACTTGCACTCACTCTTATATTCACACATCAGGATGTGAGGATCACTCTATGATTACCCCAAAAATTGGTCTTTAACAAGGATGCATGTCCACTTCATATCTGTTCAAACTCATATCGACGAAATAATAAGGCGTACGCTAGGAGATTTTTAAAACCCAGCTGTACAGATCATTGATGGACGACCTTGCCGCTCTGGAGTACCCAGAGGATATCATCATCATTTTTGATCACATGTGCTTTCGAATAAACTGACTACCATCATAGCAACTTCTGGCTTGCGCCTTGAACCTCCAAAGTAAAAAGTCGTGCTTTAAAACATGCAGTCTCTGAAAAGTATTTTGCAGTTCAAGAAAGAGCACTGGAATTTCACATAAAGGTGTCTGATGAAGTCGATGTACGAATCTCAGAAGCCCGAATCATGTCTGCTCATTTGTTTCACTTATGATGGCAGAAATTAATATCACCGGGTCTCAATAGTGGCGCGTAACAAGCTACAGTAAAAGCTGCATTTTGTATGTTTGTGATATATGAAGGGACAGGTATCTTGGAAGGGTTGTATGTGTCGGATGTCATCGATGTATCCGTAGCAAGGTTTCCAGAAAACGCATATTTGGTTTTACAGCAGGTACGTCTGTCACAAAACCATCTGGCATCTCAGTGGTGTTTGCGTTGTAAGTTACTTTTTGGATTGTCTGGTTGAATGGGTGAGAGGCAAAGTTACCTCAAAATTCTTGCCATGGACCAGTATCAGGTTTCCGGTGCATCCACTTCTTTTATTTTCACTTTGAGATCTCAGCTATAGTTGGAAAACCTTGTGTTTGTTGGAAAGTGGCGCATGAGTATTGAAAACGAGGTTTTTGTCTCTAGTGATGATTACGCATGATGACAACGACTGATGATGGTATAAATAATTCCCTCCATTCACGCTTAGAAGCTTGTAGCAGGTGAATCCGTGAGCGGATTAACCACTGCAGCTGGTTTGATAAACAAACAGATGACCAAACCAAGTGTGCATGCTGTGACTAGCTCACTGGCTGCATCAGTATGTTGCCGGCGCTAACGTACCTGAAACATAACTTAGTATTAGTCGGACTCAGTAGTTCTTGTATGTGTTTACCCAGTTGATACAGGAAGTTGTTCAGAACAGCTCCCGTCAAGCCAACACTACAAGCAGGATCATCGACGCACCGGCGCATATACGCAGAGTTTTCGCTACCCCGCTCACAAACTCTCATCTACTTGACCTTCACTGATAATTCCGCAATTAATACATAACAACTATGTGGTTGCACAAAACAGCACTAACACTACAGCCAGAGGGTTAGTTATAAGGTTAAATTATTTCCTTCGGTGGTGAGCAAAATAAGGAGATCCGAACTCTTCTCTGAAAAAATTACGCTTTATCAAGTTGTGAGCGCCCTATCCTGTTTGTTATCTTATGTCAAGAACCGATCAGCCAATGGATATCTGTTCAACAATTTTCCTAGTGTGTACCCGTTATCAGGTCTGTCACCAATATCCCAGTTGGTCCGCGCGATTCTCGAAGTTCTGCTTACGACAAGGACGCATCACCACATAACGAAGTGATTATAATTCGGCGTCAGTACCACCGGCAAAAGTTGGACTTAAAGGAGCAGTGCGCATAATCCAAAGTAAGGTTATGTTTGTCATTCAAATCCTGCATAGCCTTTCATGAACTCTTCATAGGTCACAGAAATGAAGACTAGAAGAGTTGTGGTAATAGTGATCTTCACCAACGACGAACTCTTTTAAAGAAAACGATTCTTGGTGAGCCTGTTTCATTTGACCCTCTTTATTGTCGTATACCCAATCTACCTCTGTTATTTTTATTGCTTTCTCATAGACCCCTGGCAGAGTAGTTTTTGGGTAACAAGACCACTACAAGAATCAAGATATTATCCGATTGTTGATAAGATCAAACGGAGCGAGGTCATCAATCGACGGTAGAGGAAGGATAAACACAACTACAGATGTTTTTAATGATCAGTTAGGTTTACCTGAAGGTTCACCTTAGGAAACGTTGCAAGCATTTGAGTAAACACTCTTAGGCATTACGATTGGTCTCTCGCATGCCCTTTAAATTGCCGGGGTTATCGTCGTGGTGTTATTTCGAGCAGACTAAACAAGCCGGACTTGTAGCTCGGTATTCGCGCAATGAAATTGAAATCCCGGAAGACACGACATTTTCAGACTTTCTACTTCATAGCGTAGAATCGTCTGATGTATATGTTCATGTATTACTGCAAATTAACTTTTGTTGTGATTTCTTTAATGAGCGAATCTTCAAGGTCAGTAGACACCCCCGGCGTTGCCTAGTGTTATAAGAAAACGCGAATTGTGAAAAACGCTGACTCCTTTACAATGGACGGAAGTTTCAGATAGCTTTCCAGCTCAAATAATTCTGTCAACATTCTACACCCTACATGGCCTTTGTGGATGAAATATATGCGGAAGTGCGTCCCTGCTAACAACCATTTCTCGATAATTGCTGTCACGGATTCACGTATTCACGGATTGATACACAGGATCGAGGCTTTTGCCCAGTTTTCCCGGATCGGTTTTGTTCTCGTCGGTCAGTGACTGTTGTTCACCTGAAAGGCACAGGTGAAAAAAGGGTGTAGCACTGCTCTTGATACTCTCAGCGCGGGACAGTATGCTCGCCAGCGTGAGGATTCGCATAAATAAATGTCTAATACTGTTTTAAACTGGGTTCCAGAAGGAGCGTGGACAACCTGCCGGAGGAGCTAATACCACGCAGCTACTACCGGAAATGAGAAAAGAATTTTGAGTAGTGAATATGTGCGCTCTGACCTTGAAAGTCTTCTTACTATGTCCCCGCCGGGTGTTTGCTGGATCAACGGGGAGAAACCCGTTTGCAAAGCTTTGTTCAAACAGGGCGTAAGTAAGAATTAGATCCCCTCGGAGGCAACGTCACTCCAGGGGAAAGCGATCAAGCATCGCGAGGCGCGTTTCGTAGTCCACGGATTTGAGGCCGGCAAGCATTTTCGTAGCTGTTCACTGGACGCGCTCAATGAGGGTGATGTTTTACGTGTGTCCTGAGTGGACAATTTGGTTGGCGTATCTCAGGAGCGGTCTGACGTAGGTCCGAGTAATACGGGAGGAGGTGCGTCGGATCATCCGTAAAATGGTGAATGCCAGCTAAAGTATCGTAGTCCGTGTTCATTATTGGCGAAAAGGGGTGAAAGTTTGTTGATGAACAGCAGGGTGTTTCACATAGCTGGCGAAATATTCTAAAAAGACCTTGATGTTGGTTGATTCGCCACGTGGAATCTATGTCGATCCTAGCGGACGACTGAACGAACCTAGCTGACGCACATGAATAACATGCGGGTAGTGGTCTCTGGAACCTAATCAACTGGCTACATGGAACCTACTGGCTGGTGCGCACCCATCCATCTCTGCCGAAGAAAAAGGTTCAAAATAGACGACATAAAAAGTTGCGCTGTGTTGGTCGTTTTGATGAGTACATATGTCTCACCGGGAGTTGCATGATCTTCTTTGTGAGGAGGGTTCACTTTGCCGAGGAAGATGCAAGTTAGGTTATCGAAAAATCATCATAAGTCGGGCGACCGACAAACTGGTATAAGTACTCACCCTAATATGTGAACATTTCAGCGGCTATGATGTCACAGATGCCTGTTCGCTCAATGCCATCTTCAGCGTCTATTTCGCATGCCTACTCACTGAATCAATCAAGGAATACGAGACTTACATGGAATGCATGGGGTCTCGTTAACGGGTGAAATGTCTGGAGCTGATGGGTTTTATCTAACTGGTGCTCTAAAGCGTTAGTCGTAGTAGCCAAACATTTACTTACAGCTGTCGAGTGGCTCCTCCTTGGGCCCGAAAACTCGGGCGCACTGATTTCCGGGACACATTGTTCTGGGAGTCTGTGCTCCGTCCAGGTCAGCAGCATAAGACTGGGTGGCAAATACACCTTTGCGTTTTCTGGGTGTGTCGGGGGGGAGTACGAAGAGTAATCAATTTTCATGTGGAAACATCTTTGTGACAAGCCTGGCGAGTATCACCGCACAGCGGGCAAGGTTCACCATCACAATAGTCGGCGTGATATGATACGCGATCCGTTACACACCAGAGGTCACTGGTGGCAGTCGGACGGTCACGGATCACACAGAAGTCCAAGTCTGTGTACCTAGACCGGCCTCTGGGTTGAAGTGCAGCTTCTTCGACCACCCACGGCAAGCCGTCAGCTGCAGGCTTTGAGCATTGACGTAGCAGGATTTGCCCTTGAACAATCAATTGCCTAAAGATGCCTCTGACCCTCCTGGTTTCCGGCTTCCGAAGCTTATCCAGCACAAAGGCCGTCAAAAGCCGTCGACGGTTGTTTAGAGAGCAGGTGGGACTGGCACTAATTTTCCGGTAGGTTTTAATCCGACAGTCATCGTCGGTCAATTAGGAAGCATGCTAAGTCAAACTCTATGAAGAACAGTTACTGCTGCATAGAACGGACTGATCTTTAAATACAGAGGACGGGTGCATGCAAGCGAGCCACATCGCCTGGTGGAAAAATATGTGCATTCTCTAGCACAAGTGTGTACTACCTGGTAGAATTTGGGTTTTTGCACCACAAAATTAAGTCAGAGTACTTAGCTTGACCTGACCTTGTCTTTTCCAACACTATCCTAGGGCAACCTCAACGGTTGCGGGTCTGAATGATCGCTGATCGCTGGCGGATCGGGTGTCCACACAAACACGAAAGAAGAGCGACTGCAGCCAAACGAGCCACATGAAACTCGCCAGATTAGAAAGCTGTTGGCTGGCTTCAAGGTGAAGTCCTGCATGAAAACGAGCCGCTTGGGAGCGCCACCAAAATCACTACTTCTTGGTGACACCACCCAGCGCTCAGAGCCTCACGGAGGCACTTTTCCGGTCAAACTCCGCCAAAACACCCAAGAATACAGAAAGGCGAAAGGTTGCAGGAAGCTTTTGATCCACAGCAAATCTGGACAACGAAAAAGGGATGCTGAAAGAGCTACAAACAGCACCGGTCGAGATTTTCGCCCATGGGAAAAAACTCCGTCCCCCAAAGCCAAAAGACCCGGGCAAACCGAGCTCCCACGAAACGAAAAAACCTCGCAGGCGGAAAGCACCCTCAGAAGCCACAAAGACAGGAAGCAGACAACATCGACCCAGAGGCCCCCTTGGAGCCTTGGACTCAAACCCGGTGCCCAACTATTAAGTCTGCTAAAAACCCTGGCCACTCAACTTTCGGCTCCTCACCCTCGGAGGCAGCAGAGACAGTTGAAATGCTTGTCCGCAAACTGCCTCAGCTTTTGCA